CGATAGAGTAAGTAATTGATTTGACGCTATATTGTTTAAACCCAACTAAACGCTAAATTGTACATTCCTAAACAACAATTATATTATGCAAAAATTCTGGTGGCAGTTGACATAATATAAATGTTGTTTAGGAATGTACAATTTAGCGTTTAGTTGGGTTTAAACAATATAGCGTCAAATCAATTACTTACTCTATCGGTTGTATCTTATTATACACTACACTTTAATGATACTATAAATAAATAAACTTACACATACACACATATGCATTTGTAACATTTTGTCTAATGTAAGTATAACATGATAAAAAGTAACCGTAAAATGAAAAAACTTGGAAAATAAATTTTAGTACTCATATTAAATATAATGTAACTCAAAAAATATTTGTTTAAATGAAAAAATACAAGATACATTTTTTGTTTAAAAATGTTTTTTAAATAACTTTTGTACGAAACTTTTTTTTGTAAGTTAAATATTTTTTGAGAAAATTAAAAAAGCTCATATTTTTGAACTTTTGCGAGGCTGTAAAAAAAAAAGCTCAAGTCCAATCGATGAGGACTTTTAGTATGTCATTATACATATCTTAATTCAACTTTTTTAAAAAAAAAATTTGGTTGGGAATTTTTTCCGCCATTCGCCAAAATTACTCCTTCGTTGACTGGCCTAGTAGTGATGATTCAATAATTTCAACACAAAAGTCAACGGAGGATAATACTGAAGTGTCTGAAATGACTGATTCTATGTTCATTTTAGATGGTAAGTTTTTTAAAATAAAATCTAAAATGGACAAAAATAAAGTAATCGCTACATGTGTAACATGTGAGCCATGTCATGTTGAAATAAAAGGATCATTATCTTCAACGTCCAATTTTAAGTCTCATCTCAAAAGAAGACATGATCAATCCGTTATTGATTCATATTAAAATTATTTATCAGGAAAACGGTTAAAAATCAAGGATAAGGATAATGCAGTTAGTAGAGTACATCGTGATAAATATACCCAAAACCAATTTGACATAGATGTTACCAATTTTATTTTACATTAAATGGTCCCATTAAGAACTGTAGAAAACCCATTTTTCAAAAAAATATTTGAAAATATTGAAATCACTAAAAAAATTAATGTTTCTAGTCGACGAAATCTTGGGAGAAAAATACACAATTTGTTAGAAGACAATAAAGAAAAAATTATAAATGATATTAAAGATATAAAATATGTATGTACCACAACTGATGTCTGGTCATCAAAAAAAAAGAAGTTTTTTGGGCGTAACAATACATTGGATCGATGTAGACAATTTCGAACGGCGATCATCGAGTTTGGCTTGTCGTAGATTTCGTGGAACACATAGTTATGATAAAATTTTTTGATATATTACACGACATACATTTAGAATACAATTTGGATTCTAATAAGGTTAGTAATAATATTAATAATTTAGTAGTAATATAATATTTTAATACTTTTGTGTGTATACTACAGTGAAACCTCTGTATACATAGATACAAATCATAGAAGGGTTAAGGGGCTTACAACATATAATTATGAAAATAATTGTTTTAATTCAATGATTATTAAGATTTTTAGTTTTGTGAATGGCTGCCTATAGTGCCTAAATAAAAATCATTTAAATACAAGTATCGTTAATATTTTCCCTATTTACTAATTTATAGATAATCGCAACAACAACTGACAATGGTAGTAATTTTGTCAAGGCGTTTAAAGCGTATGGTTTTAAATTAACTCATTTTGATAATGTTGAAGATAGTGTATATGAAAATATAGATTTATTTGGTGATGCATCGGTAGATAACCAGGGACGGGACGATGAACGAATAACTTATAATTCAACAGAAACAACAGAGGAACTTGAAAATACTCTATGGCTACCTCGACATTTAAGATGTTGTGCTCATACATTGAGCCTTTGTGCTACAACTGATTTAATTAAAACTATTCGATCACCATAAAACTCACAACTAAATGAAATACACACTTCGGTTATGAAAAAGTGTACATTATTATGGAATGCCTCATATAGGTCAAAATCTGCTGAGGTAAATTTTTTGTGTTTTACGGTATCATTTACTCTTATATTATTTAATAATCACAAATTGACACTCAATTTTTTTAGATCATATTACAGACATTGGGTCATCAATTATTAAGACCTGGAGATACGCGTTGAAACTCTTTATATGACACTTTAAAACAAATTTTAAAAAATAAGGAGAAAAATTGTGAGTTATTCGAAGCATTGGGATTAAAGAACAGCATGTTAAAAGATTCGGAGTTTATTTATATAGAAGAACATTTAAAATGCGTTGGTTCTTTAGCAGAGGCATTAGATATTCTCCAAGGCAAAAATAATATTTTTTTATGGTTTTGTTTTGCCAGTCATATTTAGTTTACGCCGTAAAGTTCAACATTTATTGCTAAATGATTGGAGATATTGCGAACCTTTAGTTAATAGTATTCTTACAAGTATTGCAAAAAGGTTTTCTAATTTAGTGAATTTAAATACAATTGAAGCAGATAACGCTGCAATTGCTGCACTTTCACATCCGAAATTTAAACACCGTTGGCTAAGTTGCATTGACTCTTGATATTTTGATCGACTTAATAAAATGTTTAATGCAGCAGTAGCTAATAAAATAGAAGAAATAAATATTATGTCATCAACAGATTCAGAATCAACAGATTTGTATACACATTCAAATGAGGAATCTCACGATTTTTTTAACTTTGACCCATTAGTGAGCACTGCCAGTAATGCTCAACAAAGTAGACGCTCTGCAGCATCAGAGGCAGAAATACAGGTACATTAGTATACCTAATTATAAATTGTAATATAAAAATTATAACTCGTATTTTAAATTTTAGATCGTACATTTTTTCAACAACTTTTCTCAAGATCTGTCAATACTTCAGCAGTATCCACCAATCAAAGAAATATTTTTATGCTATAATACGGCACTGCCGTCATCAGCTCCCGTCGAAAGATTATTTTCATATGCAACTATGACCAATTTACCAAAAATCCAACAAGCTATCAGATGATATGTTTGAAGAGAGAGTTATTTTCAAATCTAATTTAAAATGCAGTCATAACTGTTATAAGTTATTTACATTTTTGTTATCATTATTTACTACTATTTATAATTGTTGTAATTATTACGAACTAATATTCATATTATAATATTACTAAATTATTATTAAAAAAAATATATTAAATTCTTTACTTTCTTCTATAGATTTATATCTGTTTTTTATATAATATTTTTACATTTTTCTGAAAAAAATAACATTTACTATCATTGTCATGTAATTTAAAATACAATGCCAACTATTTGCCTGTATTTAATTACCAACCCTTTGGTTACTCAAACAAAATTAACGAAAATTACTCGAATAGTAATGTTTGAAAATTATTCGAATACATTTTTTATTCTGTAACGTGACAAAATATGAATTTCATAATATAGTTAGATTTACTGTTTTGCTTTGCTAATGGGCGCGCGTACATTATATCCGGTCGTGTAATCAGAAAACTGTACTGTTGCTGTCAAGGTGAACGCTATACACACAATATTTTTTATCAGTTTAATAATCGTTCCCTATATGACACATACACTGGCCACCACTGTCAATACCTGTATAATTTTAATATCGTTCATACTTTTATATTTTTTATATTTTGTAAATTGTTAAGCCTATACCCTCTCCCAAACGTAATCGTCGTCGTCGTTGTGTCTCGCCCGGTGTGTAACAAAAATTTCAACTCTCTTCCTTTTGAACCACCATTGTGGTATTTAGTTGCTGTGTGCGTGCAGCCAATAATAGTTTTTTTTCGTGTTTGTCGTGTAAAAATCATGTATTAATTTAACCAGGCGTCGGCCATTTCCGGGGCCGAGATCCCCATCTTAGGATGAGTCCCATCCGGGACTGGGTATCGTATATTGTTTTTATTTTATTTAATATAATGTTTGAGTATTTTTCTGTTTAAATTAATTTTTTTATGTACTGTATATCGACTCTATCTAGCATTGATATTTATAAGGTTATTGGTCAGTGGTGTGTCATGTATATTTAATACATATATATATTGTTCCCGCAGTGCCCAAGTATGGTCCGGCCGGCCAGATTACAAAAAATATTCGCCGCGCCTGGAGTACACGGACTTGTTACGATGCAGAAGACACTTCACGTGTAATATTTAGAAGTTGTAAGTTAAATTTTTTTTTGTCTTAATAATTGTTTTTTTTTCTTCTCTCTTGTCCCTTCATTTTCAGAGTGGTTTTTGCCTTCGAGTTTTGTCCACTATTAACGTAACTGTAATAATTTAATAAAATCCCCTTAATATTCATAATCAACAAAAATCTTTTTATTGCGTGAATATCTTCAATATTCACGTGTATATTATTTTTTTTTACCATTTAAATAATTCTCTCTAGTTTTAAGGTAACGGTCTTCGACATACTAAAGTATGTCCACCACTGGTGACATCAAATATACATATTTGTTTTATTTACAAGGTATCAGCGTATAATAGTCTACAACAACACTTTATATTTTAGTATATGCATATATAATTTTTTTTTAACCACTTTGTTTCATCAATGTGTACATTATTTTATTTAATATTATTGGTTTATTTATTGTTTATTTTCTTAAATCCACTTATGGTTCGGGTGTTGTTCTTTTTATGATCAAGACCCTCGCCTAAGTGGTTGGCGACCCGATTTCCTTTTGCAAGGGAGCCATGAGGGTGGCGACTCCACAATCCGTTGCGTGGCCCAAGTCATCACCTCTCAATTCGAATAATAATGTTTGAAAATTATTCGAATTCATTTTTATTCGAATAATCGTGAAAAAATCATTCGAATAATAATTTATTCGAATAAAATATCATCTAAATAATCATTTAAATAAAATTTCATTCGAATACCGCCCTACTCTGGATACATTAACACAAGAAAAAAGTCGTAAAAAACATCACCCAGCCATCAGCCAACCACACTGCAGTTTGATGTTGAATTGACTGTCGAACGCTTCCCAATCAATTCTCTTCCGCTGATCTTGATTTTCGTTGTGCACTCGCGTAGTAGTACGTAACGGATGAAAGAAACTATTGGTTGTCGCCTAAACAGGCCGATACAAACCAATCAACAACAGAACAAAAAGAAAACACGCCAGCTCACTGAACACGAGTCATCAGACCCAATAGTACGATATAACGTCAACCACGTACATAAACTTAATGACAACTAGGTGCCGGGAGTATCGGACACGACTGTTATGAGTGCGATGAGAGAGGTAATGGACGATTTTGAGCTACGTGGAGCGGGCTACACACGTAATTTTTGAACAATATTCCTTAAATTAAAATATATATAATATTCTTTACTATACAAAAAAAATTTCGAACTTTAGTTGTCTTAATGGGAAAAATGGCTACTATATAGAAAAATGATTATTTTTGTGTTAAAATTCTTGGTATTGTATTTTAATTTATTTAAAAATACCTTTTAAGGAGAGTACATTGTTTTTCATTATTATTATACAGAATTTTCAGTAATTAAGGAAATAGGTAAATTGATACAAACAATGAAAACAATAGAAAGCAGTTTCCTTACTTACTGAACACCTTATATAAATCTAATTGGCATAGAATATTAAGTTAAACTTATTAAAATTTTTATGTTTTATTTAAGTCGAAAAAAGTAATTTTAAAGTTTGAATTAGCTTAAATTATGAATTTTATTGACAACCGTAAATGACAAACGGTTGCCAAATCGGTAACACTTCTTTTGTGTTTTTTTTACGATTGAGATACGAAATAAATTTACATGTGGCAATAAATTTTTTACTTAATTATTTTTAAGTTAGAATAAAAAATTTTCAATCCATTTAATTTTTATCTCATTTAGACTTAAAACTTCAGTAGATATAAAGGAGGATCCCATCACTGTAGTCTCCCTTCGTAAGTTGAAATTTCTTATTCATGTTATTATTACTATGTGGTTTTTTTGTGGCTGCAATGTATTTTTCTAGGCCAGTGATAGAAAAAGTTTAATTTCAGATTTTAAAAGCATGGTGGAAAGTTGATCTAGAAAAGAATATTTTTGATCTTTATGAAAATTCATTATAGACCAGTGTATTTATTAATAATTAAAAATAAAATTTTTACTATAAATTATTGTATCAAACCCTTCAATTTTTATATGTTTGTCATAGAAATAACCAAATATTAAAATAATATAAAATATTAAAAAACCCAGCACAGGGGGGTCGCGGCACAGTGGTGCCGTGGTATAGTTGGATCAAGTATAATGATATCTGACAGTGATTAAAATCACTATCAAAAATAAACGCTTCGATGCAAATCTAAAGATTAGTGTTTAATTTTAAAAAAATTGGTGTTTTATTCCAAAAGCTTCTTGATCTGATGGTTCCTTATTAATATCTCGATTAAGACAAAGTATGTCGAATGAAAAAGGGTTTATTANTCTGCTAGTTCATTATTAATATCCTGATTAAGATAAAGTATGTAGAATGAAAAAAGGATTATTAAAAAATATTATTTCTCATAAAAAAATTATATTGATCCATACATCTTTCAAAAAGTTATAGCATTATAAAGTTAAAAGTTTTAAAAATAAAATCGAGAATTTTCACACAAAAATAGCATTCAATAGCCATTTTCACCGTAAAGACAAAATAAAGTTCAAAATTTTTTTTTTTTATATTAAAGTATATTACATTAGCTTTAATTTAAGATATATATAAAAGTGTCAGACCTTCCGGAACACTTTCAAAAGTTAAGTTGAAAAAGTTCTACTTTCTATATGCATTTTTTATATTTGAAGCCCCCCCATATATAGGGAAATAGTCTGATTTAAAAAAAAAGTATATCCAATGAAAGATGTATATAAATACTACTTCTCATGAAAAAATTGTATTGATCCATACATTTTTTAAAAAGTTATAGCACTTTAAAGTAAAAAATGTAAATTATAAAATCGAAAATTTTCACACAAAAATAGCATTCGGTAGCCGTTTTCACCATGAAGACAAGTCCAGAGGTCAAATTTTTTTTTTTCAAATTAAAGTATATTACATTAGCTTTAATTTAAGATATATATAAAAGTGTCAGACCTTCCGGAACATTTTCAAAAGTTAAGTTGAAAAAGTTAATTTTTTGTGAAAAAGTTGTCTTTTTAAATCCCCCCCTGTGGGCAGATAAAGGGTCAAATTTACAAAAAAAATATACCAAATGATAGGTAAAGACATCAAGCATCTATATAAAAAAAAATTATATTGATATGTTCATTTTTGAAAAAGTTATGGCACTTTTAAGTAAAAAAAATTGAAAAAATTTCGAAAATTAGCGATTTTTAAATTTGTAATTTTTTTGGAGGTTTCCCCCATTTACGGGGAACGAGGGAATTTTTTTTCAATTTTTGAGGGTAATGTCTTCGACTAAATACGATTTGTGATCTTTTGACGTATCATTGAAAAAAATCGGTTCGGTGAGAGCTGAGAAAAAGTGGTAACAGACACAAAAAGTACGAAATTTTTTTTTTCCATAATAAAGTATATTACATTAGCTTTAATTTGAGATATATATAAAAGTGTCAGTATTTCTGGAACACTTTCAAAAGTTAAATTGAAAAAGTAAATTTTTTGTGAAAAAGTTGTCATTTTGAATCCCCTCTGTGGGCTGGTAAAGGGTTAAATTTACAAAAAAAATATACCAAATAATAGGTAAAGACATCAAGCATCTATAAAAAAAAAATTTATATTGATTTGTTCATTTTTGAAAAAAGTTATGGCACTTTTAAGTAAGAAAAATTGAAAAAATTTCGAAAATTAGCGATTTTTAAATTTGTAATTTTTTTGGAGGTTTCCCCCATTTACGGGGAACGAGGGAATTTTTTTTCAATTTTTGAGGGTAATGTCTTCGACTAAATACGATTTGTGATCTTTTGACGTATCATTGAAAAAAATCGGTTCGGTGAGAGCTGAGAAAAAGTGGTAACAGACACAAAAAGTACGAAATTTTTTTTTTCCATAATAAAGTATATTACATTAGCTTTAATTTGAGATATATATAAAAGTGTCAGTATTTCTGGAACACTTTCAAAAGTTAAATTGAAAAAGTAAATTTTTTGTGAAAAAGTTGTCATTTTGAATCCCCTCTGTGGGCTGGTAAAGGGTTAAATTTATTAAAAAAATATACCAAATAATAGGTAAAGACATCAAGCATCTATAAAAAAAAAATTTATATTGATTTGTTCATTTTTGAAAAAAGTTATGGCACTTTTAAGTAAGAAAAATTGAAAAAATTTCGAAAATTAGCGATTTTTAAATTTGTAATTTTTTTGGAGGTTTCCCCCATTTACGGGGAACGAGGGAATTTTTTCAATTTTTATGGGTAATGTCTTCAACTAGATACGATTTCGTATGAAAGATATCGGTCCGGTCAGAGCTGAGAAAAAGTTGCAATAGACACAAAAAAACACAAATTAAAATTAATATCTTTTCAGATTTGTGTAGAAGCTAAAATAATGTTGGTATACTTATAAAAGATAAACCAAAAAATATTTAACTAATTAATAATTGGGAAATAAATTCTAATAATCAAAACAAAAATTAACATAATTATTATTTTAGGAGAAATTTAGTATTCAACGAAAAATTAATGATATTATAATCAAAATAACATAACCAATTAATGTAATATAATAACCAGAGAAAGAACTAATAGTTACTATTCAAGTTTATAAAATTCTAAGAAAATTTTGTTTTTATAATTGATAAAAAAAAATTATATTTTGAATATATTCGCCTATGGATCAGTTTATTAATATACAACAGGTAATTTTAAATTATTTAAAATTAAATTCACTTTTTTTTTTTTTGATTTTAAGCTTACTAAACTAACAATTTTTTTTTAGTTAAATTCAAGTTACAGTTATAATTAATTTATTATTAAATCTATTAATCAATTATTTTCAGTTTAATAACAAAAAAATTTTAGTTTAATTAATTAATTAATTATAACTGTAACTTGAATTTAACTAAAAAAAAATTGTTAGTTTAGTAAGCTTATAATTGTAAAACTCTAACGGAAATAAATAAATAATTACACAAAATTTTTTAGATGCAAAAAAAATCCTGTATTTAATTATCTATTAGAGAGATCCCTATTTTAAGTGATAAATAATTTTCACAAAATGTTGTTTTCATAATTTTTTATCCGATAAATGGTGTGCGTATTAAAATTGTTTAAAGATGTAGACTTTAAATAAAAATTCATTAATAATTAATTAAATTAAATTAAAACACCGGAAACAAGAATAATCTTTTTCATTGGTCCATAAATTACATCAATATTTATTCTTGATATCATAAGTGACATTTTTGATAGCAAGAATTATCAATATAAACTTGTTCATGTGATGACCATCATCAAGAAATGACAATTATTCTATGCTAAACTGCAAATTATCAATAAAAAATTGGACAAAAATCGATAAACTTTAACAATCAATAACGGATAGACTGTTTCTCAAATAAAAAATATAAGCATAAACCCTGAAGGGATAAAAAAAAATTATTTAACAACTAATTTAATTATTGTTAAGATTTTCAATTCAAACTTTTTCTTTTACAGAAACTTATAATTTTCTATTGTTTCTAAGAAATTGAGTATCTTAGCTTTATAAATCACTCTGTGTAAGTTCTTATATTTAAAATTTAGTCATCTTTACTTATTATACATACCACAGTATTCGCAATATCATTTTCCTCGTTGATAACTTGAATAAGGCTCTTCCCATGATTAATTAACATTAAATTTTGATAATATTCTTTTAATCCTTAATATTAAATATATTTTACAAACTAAATTTTAATATAATATGCATATTTATCAATATTGTTTTGTCAAATATTTGAAAAAAATTAAAAACTAAAAGAAATATTTTAATCATATTAATGGGATAGAAAGTTTTAAAACAACAAAATTTGTTTTAATATAAATTTAGTAGCTAATTTGTTTTAAGAAGAAAATTAAAATTAAACATACTTTTTATTTATTACGTCTTAATAAATGTTATTTTATTTACTTCGATTTGATATTTCATATGATTTTTGAATACAATTTAA